CCCACGGGTGCGTTTCTTTTTTTTTTTTTTTTTTAATTTCTTTTTTTTAATAGACCATAGATTATTTTATTTATTTATTTTTGGAGAGTTTTTTCTTTTTTTTCCTACAGGGCGTGTGTGCTTGCCAGAGAGACAGAGAGACAGAAAGTGAGAAATTAACCCTACGTGGGACCGCAATCCCTTCTCCATTTTCCTCTCGGGATCTTGGGCATGCACACACGCACACGCACCCGGTGTGAGTTTAAACCACTGGGTCTGGGACTCGAATCGCAGTTGACTACATGGGAATCCAGAGACATAGCCATTATGCTAAATGCTGATCCCAGATTAGTTTATTTTTAACACCCATCATGCCATGAATTCATAGGGAATAGGTTCCAGTAGCTCAGGCTCCTTTCCATTGGTTCTCACAAAGTGTGCTTCTCTGGGTGGAGCAGGCTGGCACTTCAGTTGAACCCAGGTACCTTTCTCTTTGGCTTCTTTCTTTTTCTGGTCATTTTCCTTCACACATTTTTTTTTTTTAAAGAACGATTTAACTTAATTAATTAATTAATTTTATTTTTAAAAATGTGACCATAGAGAGACATAGAAAGAAACAGAAAGTGAGAAGCCAAGCCACCAGGTCCAGGACTCAAACTGCGGTCAGAATGTGGGAGTGTCCAATGCCTTAACCACCACGCCACCTGCTGGTTCCCCTTCATACATTTTAGGAAGCTGTCTCTGCTCTTAGAATGCTTAATATGCTCAATGAACACATTAATTCTCTTGGCAATAATCTTTTTTTTTTTTTTGAAAGAGCAATTTATTCTGCGATAAATAAGAAGACGATCACATAGGACAAAAGTCAGAAGGGGTGCTTTTTAAAAATAAATTTGTAGTTGAGGAAATAGAATATTGCCTATAGATTTATTTGCTTTGTATTCTTTTTTTTTTTTTTTTTTCCCTTGGAGCGGTTTTTGCTATAGGGCGTGTGTGCTTGCCAGAAAAACAGAGAGAGAGACAGAGACAGAAAGTGAGAAATCACCCCCCAGGGGGGATGGCCCGCCGCAATCCCTTCTCCTCCATTCTCCTCTCAGGATCTTGGGAACGCATGCATATGTGCCCAGCGTGAGTTTAAGCCACCAGGTCCGGGACTCAAACTGTGGTGGACTACATGGGAGTTCAGCGACATAGCCATTATGCTAACTGCTGGCCCCATTTTGTATTCTTTTTCTAAAGAATCATTTATTTTATTTTATTTATTATTATTATTCATGTTTGCTATAGGACATCTATGCTCAGGAGAGAGAGAGAGAGGGGAGAGAGCCTCCAGATCTGGGACTCAAACTCTGGGAGTTTAACACCTCAACCACCATGCCACCTGCATGTATTTTTTTTTTTAATTAAAAAAATTATTATTATTTATACATTCAATCATTATACATCATTTGGTTTGTGAAGAGATTTTACCCAACATGATCTCTTGGCAAGAATCTTGCCCTTAACTTGTTTACAATGCCAACAGCTTGTTTGGTAACATTGTAGACTCTTCCAGTTTTGCCACAGTAACATTTGTGGGGCATTCCTTTTTGAACAGTACCCATTCCCTTCATGTCTACAATATCACCTTTCTTGTAGATTCAGCATACATGTTGCCAAAGGAACCACTCCATGTTTTCTAAAAGGCCTAGAGAACATGTATGGGGTGTCTCTCCTCTTTTTTTGTTCGTCATTTTGGTTAATTACTGGAAGATGGCAGTTCCAGCCAAAAGGCCCCACCATTGTTTCTTCAGTTCCTAAGGATTTGGGGCACCTGGCACATGCACCTTCAGGCTGATCTGGGGATCTGAACCCATGGCGTGGCTTCTAGCACTGCAGCCCAGTATGCTATGGACTGAGCCACCAAGCCTGTGACCACCAGTGTTTCTTTCTTTCTTTTTTTTTTTTAAAGAATTATTTTATTGAACTTTATTTATTTTATTTATGTATTTACTTATTTTAATTTGACCAGAGTGGTTCAGAGAAAGAGAGAGAGAGAGAAAGTGAGAAAGCAAGCCACCAGGTCCCAGACTCAAACTGCGGTCGACCATGTGGGAGTCCAGTGCCCTTAACCACCACACCACCTGCCGGCCACGCACCAGGGTTTCTTAAGCTGCTGGTCCAGGACTCAAATCACGCAGTCAGCCATGTGGGATCTGGCTTAACCACCAGACCATGGGCTGGCCTGTAATGACGTAATGTAATCCAATTTTCCACAAAGTCTTTGATGTCCCCTTATAAATCAAGGCCTGGCAGGTAAAGAGCACTTCCCTGGTCTTGAACAAGTCCCCTAAATCTGAGAGCATCCATTAAGGGAAAGAGAGGAATGGTGGTCACTGGGCTGCCTGCAGTCGGTCATCAAGCCATGTCCACAGGGACTCTCCAGGGAGGCAGAAGCAGTGATGGCTTTTGGGGTTTGCGGGACATGTCTCTGCAGGAGAAAGGAGGTGGACAGGGTATTCTTGCTGCGGGTGGTCTGCCTCCAAGTGCTTAGGAGGGCAGTGGCCTCCTAGCCACACCTCTCCTTCCTGCTAAGGTGAAGCATGCTTTCCCACGTCCCCAGGTATGAGTGGCCAGGCTGCCCACTGGGTGTAGAGATCTTCCCTCCCTTCTTTGAGTTCTGGCTGCTGCATTACCCTGCATAGTTGTAAGGTGATCTGCATGGCTCTCCCTCCTGCAGCTGAGGTGTGACACTGGCCAGTTCACACCCCCGCTAGAAGGTACCTTTGCAATGCCTTCAGGTTGACAACAGCTGAAACGGGATGCTGTTCATGCAGGCCAGTCAGGACTTCAGCAGCCTGGCTGGAGAGTGCTGGAGGTCCTGCCTTCCCGCACACCTTCCCAAGGCATCCTCCATGGTGGCTGAGTCCTGGGCTTGAAATCCTACTGTCTGAGCAATGCTCTTCCGGCCCATGTGTTGCCTTCTGAGATACTTTTCCAAAGGAACCCTGGGGGGAAAATGCATTAGAACCAGCCCCTGTGCATGAACTGTTCCTGACCTGGCCGGCCTAGGGTACTGGTTGACCCACAGGGTTCTGGATTTGCTTTCAGAGGCCTCTCTGAGCATACCCGGCATGTGTGTACCCGGGATCTAGGGCCGAGTGAGGCTGGAGCAGATGGCAGTGTCAAGACTTGAGGGGTGCTGTCGTTTTGCCTCTCACTCATGGAAGAGATAAAGAGATAAAGAAACTAAGAAAAAGAAGAGCGAGGGCGATAGGGAGAGGAGCAGACAGCTCCCGTAGGGACCACTCCTGGGTTGGGGGTACAGGTTGTGGAGTTTGGAGTGTGGAAGAGAAGTTGAGGTGGCGGTCACTAGGTCCCTGAAGTCCCCTAGGGCAGTACAAGGAAAAGGGTGTAGAATGCAGAACCCTAGAGGCTGACAGCTTGGGGGCGGGCCACAACAAGCCCCACCCCATGGCTCCAAGGGCTCTTGCTCCTGTCCCTTGCAGAGCCTGGAAACAGAGGAGGCTCCTGTCTGACTCCACGAGGATGCCCCCGACCCACTCCAGTGCGTTTCTGGTGGAAATGCAGCTAGTCTGTCCACCAGTGGGTGGCTTGGGGTTGCTGGGTGAGAAGCATTCCATAGCTCCAACCTCACAGCTCCCCAGTAGACACGCCTCCCTCCTGAAGACGTCCCCAGTGCACAAGATAATGCAGGGGCAGATATAAAGGCGGGGAGACAGCAGAGACTGGGTCAGCCTTTAGAGGTGTAGCCAAGGGCTCCAGTCCTCCACATTTAATGGTGAAAACAGCAACAGGTGTCTGTGTGTCTGTCTTTCTCACTCACAGAAGAAATAGATTTTTAGAAAACCCCACCCATGGTGTGCAGTGCCCTGCAGTGCTGGAAACCATATGAAAGACAAGGGTTCAGTTCCCAGGTTGACCCATACATGCCAGGCACCCACACACGTCCTGGCCTACTGGGAGAGGGTGGGGGAACACAGAGTGACACCCTGTTGACGGTGCGTGTCTGCCTCTCTAAACAAACAACTCAGTATCCAACTCGTAGTAAATTCAAGGACTCATTTTACAGATAAACTCATTTAATCCTCGCAACCCGAGGGAACAGATACCTCTATCTAGAATACAGACAGATATATTCATCCCCATTTTACAGGTGAGAAAATTGAGGCACAGAGTGGTTAGTACCTTGCTAAGATCACAGCACTAGAGAGTGGAGTGGGATACAAGCCCAGGCTTCCACACGGCAGAGTTGTACCCTTATCCCCTCTGCTCTGCCCATCCTGGCCTTAGCCCTACCAGGCCGGGCAGGAGACAGAGGGAGAAGCACCCAGTAGCCACCCACTGTGGGCCAGGCACTTTGCAAACACCTGCATGCTTCAGTCTCAGAAGAACCCAGTGAGGGATAGGCCAGATACTCACTGTCCACATGGGAAGACAGGGCCAGAGAAGGCTGACCATCGGCCATGGCCACACAGCCTGGAAGCTGCAATCCCAGCCTTTGCCTGAGCTCTGCCCCCAGGTGCCCCTTCTCAGCCCATCTACAGAATGGAAACCAGCACGAGGAGGGCAGCACGAGGAGGCTGGGAGGGGCGCTGGGAGTCTTCTTCAGGACTGGTAGCTGCCTCTGGCTTCCCTCTGGAAGGAAACCTCCCCCAGGATGCCTGGCAAGGGAGAGGGACCAGAGAGCTGGGGGACCCAAAGCAGCTCAACCACTGCCGTTCCGCTCCACCTGCTCCTGCTGCAGGACCAATGCCTCAGACGGAGCTGGTGGGGGCTGGAGCATGGCCTGGGGGGCCTCCTGGGAGCTGGGCAGGATGAGGGGCACGGTTGACCACTGTGCTTTCTTCAGTGGTCCCTCCTGATCCACAGGTGTGAGCTAACAGGGATGTGGCTTGGACAGGTGCAGCTCCTCCAGAGGATGGGTGACAACTGGGATTGCCAAGCAAGTATGGTCTAAAGTGCTGAATGCCACCTGGGGCCCAGGGAGCAGAGGAAGGCGAGGGACCCACAGAAGGCGTGAGCTGGGATGGAAATGCCCCCCAGCACTCAGTCAGGCCTTGGCATGGCCTGTGTCAGGCCTGCGGTCCCTAGGCTCCCCTCTGGTCCAGGCCAGCCAGCCCCCAGAAAGGGACAAAGGCGGCTCTGGAGAAGGGCTGGGTATGGGGGTGGGGTGTCACTGGAGTGGGCGCCGCCGGTACAGCAGGGCCAGGAGCATGGCCACAAACGCCCCAGCCACAGCCACCCCAAGCCATGAAACCCTGACACACGGCTCCTCCTGCTCCTCCTCCTCCTCCTCTCCCTGCAGTGGCGGGGCGCTGGGGCCAGGGTTGTCCGCCAAGAGAGGAATGCTGGGGTTCTCCTCCACGTGGATCCCAAAGCTGCGCACATTCTCAGAATTGTACTCGTTCTCTTCCGGGCCCAGGGTGTGCCCCAAGCCCAGGGAGTTGCTGTAGCTAATGGCGAGGTCCGAGGAGCAGACTGAAAACTGGCTGTCATCCCGGGACAACAGCACACTGGGCTTGCTCAGCTCCTGCTCAGGGCCCCAACTCTCAGAGCTGCTGCTTGGCCAGGGTGAACTGCCGGTGAGGGCACCTGTGGGTGCTGGAGCCTCTGGGATCTCCTAGGGAAGAAACGAGAGCACTGGTGGGAACTGAACCAGGATCAGCATGAACTAGCATCCGGCCCTGGGACTTTTAACCCAGAATATGCCTGAGGCTACCCTCTCCTGGGGACCCAACCCACTAGTGGTGCAAGAGGACAGGGGAGGGGACCAGGCCTCGCAGGACACCGGTGATAACCTCCAGGGCAGCCCTGTCCCTACTCCTTGGCATGCCCATGCACTGGCCCCTACCCAGGGAACTCTTGGTGTGGGGCTGTGATCAGCATTCTGCCTGGGGGGGCAGATGGAGCGCAGCAGTAAAACACAATGGTCTGTGAGGCTGATCCCCGTAGGGAAGTTCTGGGTTCGTATCTGGAGACCTCCCTGAATACAGTGGGTATACTCTGAGCCTGTGATCAGGGCCGGCTGAAGCTGGGGCGGATCATAGCAACAAGATCCCAATGGGGATGCTATGACCCCTCCCCTTCTCTCTCTGTCTCTCTTGCTCATGGAAGAAATAAATAATTAAACTTTAGGAAAAAAATGTCCTGGAAACAGCAGTTAGCGTAATGGCTATGTCACTGGACTCCCAGGTAGTCAACTGCGGTTTGAGTCCCAGACCTGGTGGCTTAAACTCATGCCGGGGGTGTGTGCGTGCGTGCCCAAGATCCCGAGAGGAGAATGGAGGAGAAGGGACTGCAGCATAGCCAACCTCCCTGGAGGGTGATTTCTCACTTTCTGTCCCTCTCTGTCTTTCTGGCGAGCGCATGCGCCCTATAGCAAAAACCTCTCAAAAAAAAAAAAAAAAAAAAAAAAAACAAAAATGTCCCGGAACCGGCAGAGGATTCTCATGTAGTTGACCGTGGTTTGAGTCCCTGACCCGGTGGCTTAAAACTCATGCTGGGCGTGTGTGCACGCATGCCCAAGATCCTGAGAGGAGAATAGAAGAGAAGGGATTGCAACGTAGCCATCCTACCTTAGGGGGTGATTTCTCACTTTCTGTCTCTGTCTCTCTCTGTCTCTCTAGGGAGTGCACGCACCCTATAGCAAAAATCTTTTTTTTTTTTTTTTTTAAAGAAACAAAGAAACAAAAATGTCCTGCCTAGCCCTGAGGGCAATGGAACAGCCATGGGGTCAAAGGCCTGGCCATGTGCCCAAGGGGACCCCCTGGATTTGAGGTCCCCAGGTGACCAAGCAGTAGGTCAGCTGTGAGGACTGGTAGGGAGCAGCTGTGGGGGCTGCTGCTGAGAGTGGCTGCTCCAGGCTTTGTGGCTATGACTGCAGTCTGAAAAGCCTGGTCACCAAGGGGCAGGTGGGACATGCCGGTGGTTAAAGCACAAGGCACCAAGGTGGACCAGCCAGTGTGCTCCACCCCTCCCGCTTCCTCCTCTGCACAATGGCATTGCTAAGCTGAACTGGGAACTGCAGGCCCCAGTGAGTTAATACACAACTCAGATGGCAGTGTGTGGGTGTGTGGGTGTGTGGGTGTGTGTGTGGTGGGGGGATTCCATCATGCCTGACCCCCCTGAGAAGCTCTAATGACTGTCATTCCTCCTGGAGAACACGGTGTGGGATCTCATTGAGGCTGCTTCTCAGCTGTCCCTCCACCCTCCAGGAGCAGGCCTAGACCATCCCAGGCTGGAGACAGATGGAGACTAGGAAAGGTTCCAGGGCAGGGCCAGGAGGGGAGAGGACTCACCTCAGCCCTGCTGCTGCTACTGCTGGTGGGCGCTGTGTTGGCAGGCACCTTGGGGGGCACCATGCTAGCAGGCACTTTGGAAGCTACTACAGCAGCACGTGCAGAGTTGATGGGCAATCTGGATGGTGCTGGATTGGTGAGCGCCTGAGAGGGCATCGTACCAGGGGCCTTCGAGCTGATGGGCACCTTGGAGGGCACCGTGCTGGTGGTCACAGGCCTCTCTGCTTTACTGGAGCTGACGATAGCCTCAGCCTGCTCACCAGCACCCCCTGCAGTGGGCAGGCCAGTGGAGGAGGCAGAGGAGGAGGTGTCAGTGGACAGAGCTGACGCTGCAGGTCCAGGCAGGCTGCTTGCCCTGGGAGTGGAACGGGCCAGTGGCTGGAAGGAGACAGACGGGGACACGGGCCCACGGGGTAAGGGAAGTCTGGAGGCAGCACCTGCAGGTGGAGAAACAAAAGCAGAAACACAAACCCAAAGGTCTATTACTCTGAGTCTAGAATGGAGTCCCTGTGCTCCAGGTCACACCATGTCTACTGCATCCACACCCCTCAATCTCCTGCCTGCGGAGAAGACCCCACACTCCCTTGGTCATTGCTCCGAGGCCTGAAGGCCCAACAGCTGCCCTCAGCCCTGGCCCACAACCCCAAGGCCATCCTGTCACATGGTGCATGGTGCATGCTCTCTCCCTCTGGGGGCTGAACGGTGGCACAGAGGTGAAACTTGACACTCTGTCTAGGCTGACCCACATGGAGGGGAGGGAGTTCTGGGTTTATGTCTGGGGATCTCCCTGAGTGTGCCAGGTGGGCGTGTGCCCATGGTCTGGGGCTGGTTAAAATTGGGGTGAATCATGGTGTCAAGATCCTATTGAGGGTGCCATCTCTCTGTCTTTGCTTCTGTCTCTTTCACTTAGGGGAGAAATAAACTAATAAAAAAAATTAAAGGCCAGCCCTGGGGCCAGCAGGTGGCATGGTGGTTAAGGCGCTGGACTCTCAGTGGCCACCCTGCACAGCAGCAGGAGCAGCTCTGGATCAGGCCCAGGAGCAGCAGGATAGCTCCGGCGGAACAGCTGGCACTCAGTGCTTGCAGGGCGATGCCCAAGGACAAAGCCAGCCCTGGGAGGAGGCCCTGACCCAGGGGAAGCAGGAGGGGGCAGGGGGTGAGTGTCCATAAAAGCGGGGCACCGGGATTCTCCATGGCACTCTGAGAATGCACATGCCAGGCCCCATGGCTGCCAAAGGCTGGGCGAATCTGATGTGCGCCCCCAAACCTAGCCCCACAGAACCTCATGGGACCTGGGTCCATAAAGTCCAAATATTCTTTGCTTCCCTGATCCACAGCAGCATCTCCTGGGAGGCGGCCCATAACAAGTTAACAGTGCAAAGCTCAAGCAGGTGCTCGGGGCAGTGTGGGGCAGTATGAGGGTGACAGGTGTGTGGGGCACTGAGATGGCCTCCCCAGCTTTTAACAGCCATGTGCCTGTGGCTGCCCTAGGGCAGGGAGTGCTGGCAGGCACAGAGGCCACGTGGAACACTGTTGGGACAGCCTACGAGGTTAGGGTAGGCAGCTTATATCTCTATGGGAGGCACGGAGGTCTGCAGGGTTGGGGAGGAGGGGTCCAGGCCCCTTGCCAATAAAGACCATACTGCTTCTGGGGGCTGAGAATGTTAGTGATTTTGCTAGGAACTGAAGACCCCTTTGAGCGAGGGTGGTGCCTGAGGGCTCCCCTGCCAATGTCTGGCCCAGCCCTGCACTTTCCCTCCCTTACTGTCCTCCAGGCTCTGTCTGATCCCTACAGAGTCCCTTTGGCAGAGTACAGAAATGTCCCTGGGGGACCAGCAGTTAGTGTAATGGCTGTGTTGCTGGACTCCCATGTAGTCAACTGCAGTTTGAGTCCCAGACCTGGTGACTTAAACTCACACCAGGCACGTGTGTGTGCATGCCCAAGATCCTGAGAGGAGAATGGAGGAGAAAGGATTGCAGCGTGACCATCTCCCCTGGGGAGTGATTTCTCGCTTTCTGTCTCTCTGTCTCTGTCTGTCTGGTGAGCGCACGCGCCCTATAGCAAAAACCT